CATCAAAAAGCAGATGTGGTCAAAGAGAGGAATGACTATGATTGAATTGTCTATGATTGGGGCGTCATGGCAAAGAAGAAGAAAACAGGAGCAGCATGGAGTTAGGTTCTCCTGCTTTCCCATCTTAGTTCCAGGAAGTCAGGGCAGGAAAGAATTATCCATAATCTTGCCAATCCCCACCTTCCTCAAATAACCTCTGGCATAGATTAACTTTATTCATAGAATGCCTAACTGTGGCAAATTTACTCATGGTTGACTCAGTCATTTGGTTTCATACAGCACACTGAAGCAAACATGTATGGTATTTGTTTTAAAGTTCTAAAACCATAAATTAATGTATTAACATGCCATGCTAGGTCAAAATATGATAGACCTACCCTGTTTTCCCCAAAATAAGACATCCCTTGATAATAAGCCCAATTGGGCTTTTGAGGGCATGGCAATAAGGCCAAGCACTTATTTCAAAGTTCAAAAAAAATATAAGACAGAGTTTTATTTGCGGGGAAACATGGTATCTGTGACCCAGTATGCCCTACAAACTATATCTTTTTCCTGCAGCATCTTCAATCTTAGTAAATCACTGCCCATTGAACAATTGTTAGTCAATGATTACCCTGATTAAAAATATAAAACATATTAAAAATATGAACTTCCATATAGTGATATTGCTATAGAAATTAATTAATATTTGGGATTTTTTTCTCTAAATGATCCTTAGTCACAATAACTATTGTTGCTAAATTTAGTTGTAAATAAGATTAATCAATAAGATTAAGAGGGAAATGCACATACTTTGAAAATGTATCTTAAATCTTTCCCTTTAAATTAAAGAACCTCACCCTCAAGATAGAAACATAAAGTTCTAAGTATGTCTTTATAGACATTTCATTGTATTTATCAGTTCCATTAAAATCTAGGGATAAGAAAGCCTTTGCAATACTGGGACCATGCTATGACTGAAAAATAATGAGCTATCTCTGTCTAGAGCAATGTTTGCTAATGTAGGGACATTCTCCTCTTAACCTAAATCAAACTAAGTAAAGTAAAAACCAGGCAAATGAAGAGTGCCCAAATTAGTGGATCTTAAGTGCAAACTCCTAGACTCCAAAACATCCTCTCCCAAAAATCCCAATTCCTTTGTTTTAGTGCTTTCAATTGCAAACTGACTGCTTTGCCCTCTGTGATCCTTTCTCTTATAGGTCATTTCCTAATTTGGGGAGGAAGTGATTCCCTATTTAGACCCCACATGCCACTGATTTGTGAACTACACTTAGGAAGATTAAGCCTTCTACAGATTCCTTTCTGTAGAATAGGCACTTTTACTGTATCTTCACCATTGAATATCTGATCCTTCTTTGTGCATTTGCAAGTGGATTACAAGCAAAGGTGGCCATTTGGATATCCTCTAATTTTCTTTCTCCCCATAGTCACATTTTCCTATTTGTAAATTACCAACCAGATAGTAAAAAAATAGTTTTTAATTTGGAATGCTGACATCAGATTTTGATACTTAAAAGTCGAAATTTTACTTCTAGAATACTTTTTCCTTTCAAAAATTGGTCCTTGCTTTTTGGTGAAATTAATTATAAAGACAATTAATAAATCAATGCCCCTTATTTTAATTTTCCCCCCTCAAAGAGTAAGCCAACTTTGCTTCATCTAGAACACAAAACTGAAAAAACCCTCTTTTTAATGTTTTTCAGAGAGTTCTCCCTCCCCATTCAAGAGGTCCACACCAGCATCTCTTAGTGTCAGGTATAAAATGGTTTATTTAAAATGCAAAATATTGGTAAAACACATACACATTAGTAAAAAAAAATCCCACATAGGCAGGGATCAGATACAATAGAGCTTTGCGTTTTCATACCAAAAGAACAGGTATGTAAGGTTTTAAATGGCAGTGTTGTTGAATTGCTGCACAACAGCAAAATAAATCTTTGTTAATAGTCTTTTTGGACTGCAGTCTTTGAACCCAAAGATGTTCTCTCACAAAGGCATTATCTGGAAATCTGCCCCTTAAGAAGGGACAAATGTCCTATATGCTGCAGGTCACCATCATCTCATTCCCACAAAGTCTTCCTTATGAGGCGTGTTGCCTGTTCACAGAGTTCCTTAAAGTCAGCACTTGTTTGACTTTTTCCTGGATCACGTCCTCCTGTTTTTGAGCCACAACCTTCACCATCTCCTCTCTTTTTGTCAGTGGCAGAGCGGGCCTTTTCTTTTTCTCCTCCTCGTCTTCCTCCTCCTCCTCCAGCTTCCCTTCAGAGGTGAAAGGACTGCAGACAGTCTCTACCAAGCCGATAACCATCCCAAAGAAGGCCAGCACGCTGCCCAGCATGTACAGCTTGACCATTTTCCCATTGGGTTTCTGGCTCAGCATCTCTTTCGCAAATGGGATCAGCTCTTGCATTGTCTCCATAGTCCAGGTACTTGGAAACACCTAGATGGAGAAACACATGAAAAAAATAGGTCAACTACAGCTTAAGTTGTGAAAAGCCTTTTGATCTTAGGCCAGCCTACTCTGAAAGAACAGTTTTTTCCCCAAACTGGAGGGAGGCTTAAGCAGTTTACAGAGCCTCATTATAAGGAACAATTTATACAACTTGCCTCCAGAAGTTGTGAATGCTCTAACACTGGTAAGTTTTAAAGAAGAGATTGGACCACCATTTCTCTGAAATGGTATACTTTTTCCTGCTGAGCAGGGGGTTGGACTAGAAGACCTCCAAGGTCCCTTCCAACTCTATTATTCTGTATAAAAAGGCTACAGACAACAGCAGATGCATTTCAAATACAGACAGTCCAAGTATAATTCTCCTTATGCGGCCAATTATACGCAACAGCATGAATTCAAAATCATTAGGCTTTCCCCCCCCCAAAAAAAAATTAAAATAAAATAACAGCCCTTCTGTCCAATACAACCTCACGAATCCCTCCCATGAATCCAGTGTCTTCGAATAGAGGAGAACAGCCGCAGCTCGGTTCTAAACCGGCACTGTAGCTTGGACGATCAAAAGAAGGGGGGAAAAAATAAAATAAAACGTCGAGCGGCCTTACCTCGAAGAACTCGTCTGACTCGCTCGGAGCTTTGATCAGCCGTTGAATTCAAAGCGCCCCTTTCGATTCCGCACAGAAGCAAAACTCGAATATCTTCACTCCAGTTAACTTGCTACAGTAGCAGTCGGCCTTCCTGCTTTATAATCCCACGCTTGTTCGAGTCCCCGCCCCTGTCCGGACCGACCGCTTGGCTTCGTCCCTGCAGGCTGCTGGCCAATGGGACTGCCCATGCGCCGAGCACGCCGCTATCCTGCCGCCATTGGCCAGAAGCCGAGCCTCCTGGTGTGGTAATGCTGGCAAAGGGCAGCGCAGGCGGAGGTGGTCGCCAGCCCCCAGGAGACGCGCTGGGGAAGAGCGTCCAAAGCAGTAAATCACGTTCATTTGTCAACCTGGAGAGAGTCACGTAGCATGTCTCCAGGCGGCCTTTACTAGTATTAAATCCCTCTTGAGCGACGTGCGCCAGGGCTCGTGTTGGGGTGACCTTCACTCTTTCCCTTAAAACCGCATTGCCTTAAACGGACATTGCGAAATTCAGAGGAGGTTTTATGGGTGACTCGCTGCATTGTTTCGCTTTATTAAACGATTTGAATTTTAACTCGCGCCGATATTAAGATTCAGAGTAGTTTACTCAAGCGCGGGCTACAGCAAATGAAGATTCTTTGATTTTCTGGAGACAGACCCGGGATTCGATTTTAACGTGGCTTTTAACGATTAGACCCAAGGAAGTTGCTAATGGCTCCTTGGTGACCAGATGACATACAAGGCAGTTTGCCCCTAAATGCCAATTGCTGAAGAATGATGTCCTGAAAACCTCTGTGGCCCTTCACAGACTAATAAGAGTTGGAAGGGACCCTGGAAATCTAGTCCAACCTCCTGCTCAAGCAGAAGACCCTATACCATTTTGGACAAATGGTTGTCCAATCTTTAAACCTTCAGTGTTGTGAGCACCTACAACTTCTGAAGGCAAGCCTGCCCACTGGTTAATTGTTCTTAAATTCCATTTGAAGGATTCGGGTTAGCTCCTGTGGTAAGACTATTCAAGTAGTGTTTTTCAAACCTGGAAACGTCTAACTCCCAGAATTCCTTTATTTGCATTCGTGTCAGGGAATTCTGAAAGTTGAAGTTTATACATCTTAAAAATGCCAAGTTTGAAAAACACTGATCTAGATGTTGGTCTTACTCTTATAATGGCAAGATGTGCCCATATATAGACACCTATGACTACCAGAGGGATACAGATTTTCCTGGGCTGTTACCACTTTGCTTCCATCTCACAGTTGAATGGAGTTTTGCAGCCAGAGAGAATAACTTTTTTCCACAAAGTTTTGGTCTACCTTTTTTTTTTTTTGAATTAAAAAAAACAGCCTTTTGTTCTGAGAAGACAGCATTTTGTCCAATTATATTACATACATCACCATGGAGAAAAGGGAAATTTACATACAAGATCCATTTTGGTTTTACACTTAGAGCAAGGGTATCAAACTCGCGGCGTCATGTTGCCTGTTGTAGGAAGTTAGCACCCACCCCTCTCCTGGAAGAGTGAAATATTTTAGGAAATATGAAAAAGGCAGAATATTATATTTCCCTGGGATAAGCATGTTTTGAAGCAGCTCCCATCTTCCTGCCCCCCACCCTTTGTCAATGGGCCATTAAGGCTTGGGCCAGTCTATTCTACATAACAAAGATCTACCTCCTGCAGGCAGAGCCATAGTAGGAATTGTCAAAGATAGGATTAGCCCTCTACACAATAGCAGCAGAAACTCACCACATGTGACCTGGGAAGCACATGTGGCCATCAGCCAGCAAGGCCCCCACCCCCTGGGAGTCTGACGACCAATCAGGGTGCTCTTTCGTGGCCCCGGGGGGTGCAGAGCCGGCAAGAGCATAAAAACCCGAAGATTTACTGTATCAGCCCTTTTTCTGTTCGGGAACTCGGGCCGTGTGGTCCTGTCCACCATTAAACCATCTTTCCAAGCAGTCTCCATGTTTCCAGTGTCTGTTTTCCCCACTTGGAGCAGAACCTAGAAGGATGTTTCTTCCAACACTGTCACGTGACGTTTCACGACGTTTTTCCTCTTTGCGGAGCTGGCGTAGGTGTGGCCTGCATGTGACGCATGTGGCCTGTGGGCTGCCATTTTGGCACCCCTAATTAGAGAACCTTGTGAAGTATAAGTAGAGTGACTGGCAGAATTTCAATGGTGGCCAACAACAGTGAATCAGTTTTCCCCAACTGAATCAGATGCAAATGTGAGGTTTGCCACATTTGCTTCTTGGTTCTATATTCAGCCTTTACTTGTACTTGTGAATGTATGTTTCAGTGAAAATGAAATGTACATACATTTCAATGTATGTACATTTCAGCTTTATCCCTTCTTTTCAGGGCATCTCTACTCCATTTTTGACAAGCAGAGAAGGTAATGGTGGCCCAAATCACTGAGCTATGTGGCTGAGGGGAATTTGAATGGAAGCCTCCCTAGCTATTTTCCTGCCGTGACTGTTGGGAGTTCTCAGTGTTAAGAGACAGTTATTTTGTTTAAAGGAGCACATTTAGAATCCAAAGCTGGTGAAAGTCAGCCACTCCTCCAGAGACCTTTCCAGTCCTTTCTTCTAGCATGCAACTTGATTCATCCAGGTGAAAGGTAAGCATCCCCCTCTTCTTTTTTAATGCATGTGGGTTCAGCATGTTTAGGAGTCAGTTCTCTTTTTGTACACAGGGCATGGGTCTAGCACTTTACTCCAGCGATCTGCATTCTATTTCTGTCCACTGAGCGCTAGGTGCAACTTTGCGTAAGCCTTCTAACCTCTCACCTAGTGGCTGGGCAGTCTCTTTGGACAACCAGGGATTGTGACTCTGCAGCCAGTTACAAAAATGGTCCTTGTAGCCACAAAAAGATTTAACAGCTGATTCATATAAACAAGGGTCTGAGAACTGAGAACAACAACCAGTAGAAGTCAGCTCAGGTTTTCAGAATGGATGGAAGAGAGGGAGGGCAGCTGGAGCTAGGCATGTTGCCCTCTCCTCAGTGTCCTCATTTAGACACCCAGTCCTTGCATACAACTGCCCAAATCGGAGAAGGTGAAATAAGGTGTAGAAGTTTCCGCGTTCAGATTCTAGTGAAAGTAACAGAGTGAATGAATAGAGATGGGTCTCTAATGATCTTTTCCTATAATTTGATTTTAAATGACTGAAGGGGGTTGGTGAAGGGAAAGAGACCTTGAAAAGTACAAGCAGGAATTCATGATGCCACCCTACTATAGATTCAAAGTCTGTTTTCCTACTTAACTCTGTTCAAGTGGTCATGTCTGGAGCCTTTGCTCTGCTTCATTTCAGGGGTTTGTTGAACCCTTCATAGCAATTGGCTGGAATGCCCGCTCCCCTCTGGATATTAATCACTACCCCTCATTAGTGTTTCTCAAGCTTGGCAACTTTAAGATGTGTGGACTTTACCCCTGAGAATAGTCCTGTAGGAAGTTAGCACCCATCCCTTTCCTAGAAGAATGAAATATTTTGGGAAATATTAAAAAGGCAGAATATTATGTTTCCCTGGATGAGAAATGGAGAAGCATGTTTTAAAGACAAAGAAGCTCCCACCTTCCTGCCCCCCACCCTTTGTTAATGGGCCAGAGGCAGAAACCCAATCCTTTGTCAAAGGACCATCATCTGCAACACAATAGAACCCATCTAGCAACAGAAACTCACCACATGGCACCTGGGAAGATTACATCAGCCAGCAAGGCTAGCTAAGAGCCCCACCCCCTGGAAGTCTGACAACCAATCAGGATACTCTTTCTGGGACCCAGGAAGTTCTAAGCCAGAGAGAGCATAAAACCCAGGGACTCGCTGTATCTCGGCCCTTTTCTGTTCAGGAACTCAAGCCATGTGATCCTGTCCACCATTAAACCATCTTTCCAAGCAGTCTCCATGTTTCCAGTGTCTTTTTCCCCTCTAGGAGCTGAACCCAGAAGGATATTTCTTCCAACAGTCCTTCATGACTTTTCTTTTCTTTTTTTTACAAATTCACCTGTGAGACAGTGAAAGGTTAGGATTTCCATCCCCCCCATTTTTTTCTTTTTAAATCACTGATGGAATGTGAGAACCCAGACTTCCTTTCTCACATTTTTTAATCCTGAGAAATTGACAGGGGTTCTGTCATTTTCTTCTTCAATTCCAAGTAACAATGTCAATTCAGATAGTCCCTCGACTTAGAACCACAATAGAACCCCAAATTTATGTTGCTAAGTGAGACATTTGTTAAGTGAGTTTTGCCCCCATTTTACAGCCTTTCTTGCCACAGTTGTTAAGTGAATCTCTGCCGTTATTCAATTGGTAACAGTGAAGCTTAATGTTGACTTTGCTTATCAGAAGGTCTCAAAAGCTGACCTTCACATGATCATCACATGACCTAGAGACACTATAATCATCATAAATATGAACCAGTTGCCAAGCATCCAAATTCTGATCATGTAACCATGGGATGCTGCAACGGTCGTAAGTATGACCATAAGTCACTTTTTCAGTGCTGTTGTAACTTTGAATGGTCACTAAATAAACTGTTGTAAGTTGAGGACTACCTGTACTGTTGTGGTGTTTTCTTCTTTTCTACCAATGGAAAGGTGTTAAATATGAGGGGGAGTCAATGGCAAGATACCGATATAAAAGATCTATCAAGGGAAATCGCATATCCTCAAGCAATTCACAATTGCTTTTTCATGCATGAGTAGAAGAGGTAAAGATGCAGCAGAATCACAGGTTGTGGTAGGCCTGGTCCAGATAGTAAACCAGGACATTATTGTGGCAAAAGTGGAGAAAGGAGATTGAAATCTAGAAAGGGATTTATTAAACTGGCTTCCTTTTAGACATGAGCCAAGCAACTTAATGCTGCTGTGTGAAAAAGCCCTTAGTTTCTTTTAGTATTCTGGGGTCCTCCATTGAATTCAGATACTAGGTAGCATTTGGAGTGAGTAGAGCTAAATATTTGGCACCCCATAAGCCATATAGTGACATGTATATACAAGTGCAAATTTACATTGGAATGAATTTAAATCTAGAATTTTCTAACAACAACTAGAGGTTTTGCTGCACTAATAAAGATGTGATCACTGATATTGGATGAAGTGTAAAGATTAATCAGTATTCTTTGGATCTGAGCTTCAAATCTCAAAGATTGACTGATGATTAGTAAGCCTGCAGGTGCTGTTTCCAGTTTTGGGGAAGACATTTGCTCTGTTTTTGATAAACATCTTAAAGATACTGTCTGGGCAAATGTCTCCAGTTCATGTTTGTAAGTCTTCCCATCTTGCTTCTGCTCAATTATTGTTTTATTTGTACAGCTGCAGTTAAGTATATAGACAGCCAGTTTTGTGTATTGGTTAAAACACCAGTCTACAGATCAGGAGACTGTGAGTTCTAGTTCTGCTTTAGGCATGAAGCTAGCTGGTGACCTTGAGCCAGTTACTCTCTCTCAGCCTTAGAAAGCATGCATTGGCAAAGTGAAAAATCTTGCCAAGGAAAGTGCAAGGACTTATCCAGGCAGTCATCAGGAGTCAAAGCACATGCATACAGTTACAATTATTTAACAGACCATTCAACTATAATTACAGGTTAACTCCAGAAAGCAAAAATATTTATGACACTGGGGAATTTCCTTTTCTGGCTGGGAGATGAAGTCCACATATCTTGGCAATCTTGGCATCGTTGCCAACATTGTGAAACATGGTTTTGGGGTAAAGACTCAGAGATTGCAATCTCCCTAGACTCTGGGGTGATACATAACGGTGATGGATAATGATATAAGTTGAGGCATAGTTCTGCCAGACAAAGAAGTCTTACTTTCCTACTGACCTTTGCATTATGGTGTCCGCAGGTCATAATATTTCTAAATTGGGACTACAGGGGTGAAATCCAGCAGGTTCTGACAGGTTCTGGAGAACCGGTAGCAGAAATTTTGAATAGTTCGGAGAACCCGCAAATACCACCTCTGGCTGGCCCCAGAATGGGGTGGGAATGGGGATTTTGCAATATCCTTCCCCCAGGAGTGGGGAGGGAATGGGGATTTTGCAGTATCCTTCCCCTGCCATGCCCACCAAGCCACACCATGGCCACCAAGCCACGCCCACAAAACTGGTAGTAAAAAAAATTGGATTTCACCACTGGATTACAGTATTCTAGTATTCTTTCTTGGTTGCCTTTCTTTCTTTTCATTAGATTGCCTGAACAGGGATTTTAATTATCCCTTTCCTCCAATATTTTTTTTGTTTAAGTTTTTTTTAATACTGGATTCCAAGTATAAAGACAAGGGAGAAGTTCTGTATAGGGAAGAAACGATTCTGAAATTGAAATGTATATCTGCCAATTAACATATGTAGTATTGCAATCTACCTTCCTCCAGCACAGATATTGCATCTGGAAAATAATGTAATAAACATTTTAAAAATAGGTTTTAAACAGCTAATAGACTTTCCCATGCTTTGTGCAACATGGTCACAAAACTACCCATGTGTTTGCTGAAACTGTGCAGGGAGAAAAACAAATATTTCCATAAACTATTGCATTTATTTTAGTTGTTCTGCTGTTTTTTATTATTGTTTCGTACTGTTATTTTTTAAAACTGATTTGCCTCCAACCTAATAAGTGGCAAATTGTTGTGTAGTGGTTAAGGTGCTGACCTAGAAAGCAGGAAAATCTTCCTTGGGGATGAAAGCTGGCTGGGTGACTTTGGGCCTGTTATCTTCTCTCAGGCCAAATACCAGACAGGGTTATTGTTATGGGAAAGGGGGAAGGCAGGATTATTAGGCATGTTTGCCATCTTGAGTTATACATAAAAAACATATACATGGATAAAATAATTTATAATTACAGCAACAATAAAAAATAGCAGTTTCATAAATGAATGCTTCTGCATTCTACTATTTCCTTTTCTTTTTCCTGAAGCCCTTCCTTACACAATAGACTTTCCTTCTCAGATCATGAAATCTTAGAGAACCCAACAGCCTGTTTATTGCCTCTCAGTCAATGAGTCACATCAAGAAGGTACAGCACATTCTGTGAGAGAGATTGTGGCCCTTTCTCTGCTCCTTTTACATTTCTCTGCTTTCGTCTCTATGTGTATTACATATTACATCAGCAGTACAAAGCAGATCATATCAGCTTTGGTAACACCGTATGACCTCGGATTGCAGTTAATTTACTTCATGCAAGCAATAGGTTGGTGGTGTTCTTTGAAAGGTCATAGTTCTGAAAGATGGATAGGAGCACAATGGACAATACTGTATTTTCTAATGCTAGAAGATTTTATTTTCAGAATCGAAATTTTTATTTTTATTTTTACCAGCAGTGTTGGCCTTATAAGACAAGCACAGATGACTTCCAACAAGTAAAAAAGCAGATTCAGGAACAGTGCTAGACAGTAACTTCTCCTTTTTAAAATCAGTTCTCATTCAATTTGATAAAAAGAGTGGTATAAAATGATTTTGAAGGAAAAGAATATTTCAATATTGTTATGGATAGAATGTGACATTCTTGCACTGATTTGATTACAAAGTGGCCAAGAGTTACATGTGAATATGTTACCCACTGCAGTCCTCAGAGATCTAAAGACTGACTAGGTGGCTCAGTGGCTAAGACACTAAGCTTGTCTAT